ATTAGGATGTCGTGGGCCTGTCCCGACATCCATCTCAGTTGTTTTAGAGGCTTCATAGATAGTCAGTCAGATGTTAGTTCATTCGTCATCATTTTGTTATTGACTTATGTTCAGATTTGAGTTGTCATTTTGGCTAAGTTAAATGTTTATTTTCAAAACATTATGAGTTCAGTTTGAGACAGTTAAGTTGTTTAGCATTTGAATTCCTTTCTTATTGCATATAGTCTTCCGCTGAGTAAGTAAGTCAGGCCAAGGGTTCGCTTGGGGCCAGCAATGGTTCTCGAGTGTCAGTCCCGCCCAGGGTGTAGGCTCGGGGCGTGACACTTGGGAGCTTGTCTCTCTTCCTATAGGTAAATCTATGGTTGCTTGCCACTGGGTTTATGCAATCAAAATTGGTCTAGATGATCAGGTTGATTGGCTAAATGCTCACCTTGTTGCCAAAGGGTATGCGCAAATATTTGGGCGAGATTATAGTGAGACTTACACTCCCATGGATAAAATAGCGACTATCCATATTTTTCTATCTATGGCTATCGTTCGTCATTGGCTTCTTCATCAGCCTATCTAGTAATCTTGAGGGAGAAGTCTATATGGAGTAACCACCTAGTTTTGTTACTCAAAGGGAGTCTAATAGCCTTGTATGTTGATTGTATAGGTCACTCTATGGTCTGAAATAGTCTCCTCGAGATCGGTTTGAAAAATTCAGCACAGTAATTCAAGAGTTTCGCATGACTCGTAATGGAGCCGATCACTCTGTGTTTTGTGAGCATTCAACACCAAATCTATGTATTTATTTGGTTATTTACATTTATTATATCGTTATCACCGGTAATGATCAAGATGGTATCACTAATTTGAAGCAACATTTCCAGACTAAGGACCTCGGTAGACTGAAGTAGTTTCTAGGTATTGAGGTTGCTCAATCTAGATACGATATTGTTATTTCTCAACGCAAGTATGCGTTAGACATTCTAAGGAGACAAGAATGTTGGGATGTTAACCCATAGACATTCCTATGGATCCAAAAGTTAAATTCCTTCTAGGACAAAGAGAGCCACTTAGTATTCCTGAAAGGTATAGACTACAAGTTGGAAACTTGAATTATCTCACAATAATTACACCTGACATCTCTTTTCTTGTGGGTGTTATGTTGTTTAACTTGGGACTAGGCTTATGATCCTTCTCTTAATGATAGAACAAAAATGAGAAAGGAGCTCTCCTAACCTAAGCAAGTGGCGGAGTCGTAGACCATTGCTTTAAAGACGAGATGGAATCTTTCTCTTGGATGAGCATAACGCTCTAAGCCCTTAGTTTACGACCTCCTAATAAGATAGCACCAATACGATCTCTTGCTGTGAAGTAGGAGGTTTTCACCGACAGAGCGCAATTAGACCACAACTGAAAGAGGATTTTCCACTTCCCCTTGTGATAATCATTAGGATGCAGTTACTCGTATTGTGTAATATATTAAGTCAGCTCTCGATAAAGGACTACTTTTCGAGGATCAAGGCCATGACCATATCATCGGACATACATACGTTGATTGGGTAGGATCACCCTCTAATAGACGTTCTACATCCTAATATTGTGTTTTAGTAGGAGGTAATTTGGTGTCGTGGAAGAGTAAGAAACAAAATGGTTGCTCGATCTAGTGCAAAAATAGAATATCAAGCAATGGTTGTAGCAACTTGTGAGCTAATTTGGATCAAGTAGTTGCTGAGAGAACTAAAATTTGGAAAAATCGGTCATATTGAACATGTGTGTGATAATCAAGCGGCCCTTCATATCACATGAAATCCAGTGTTTCATGACAGGACTAAGCACGTTGAGATTGATAGTCACTTTGTCAGAGAAAAGATACTCTCAGGAGATATTGTTACAAAATTTGTGAAATCAAGTGGTTAACTTGCAATATCTTCACCAAGTTCCTCACTGGTCCTCGTACTAATTACATTTGCAACAAGCTAGGTACATATGATTTGTATGCACCAATTTGAGGGGGAGTGTTAGAAAAGGAATAGGTATACACAATCCTACTTAAAATAGGAATAGGAATAATATATAGTATCCTACTTGGTAAAGAATTATATTATAATGTCTATAAATAGTCTCTGTGTAATAATGTAGATATACAATTCAGTAATATTTTTCTCCTATATTTCTCACATTTACTAAAAAACAAAACAACAACCAGACAATGTTATAAGAAGGTGACCCACTCCCTATCCCGGGTTTTTGGACATAAAGCACCAACTTGATGAACACTCAACGGGGTTCTCTTGATGAACTGTTGAGGTTTGCTTTTAGTTACTGCAGTAACTTTTAGCAAAATAAGTTATTTAGTTTGAATAAATTTGAATTTTGAATTTTAGTTAATTTGTTTATGTTGTTGAGATATTTTAGGTTGTTTAAATTTTGAATTATGCAGATTATGTGTTTTATGTTGGCTATTTAAATCCCCTCAATGCTTAATAAAATTATTGAAAGTCATTTCAATCCATTGAGAGACATTTTCAATCTTTTTGTGCTGCCCCATTTTTAAAAAACACCAACAGTGGTATCAAGAGCTTCATTGATCTTAAGGGATCTGTGAAATCTTCCAAAGAACTACCATGCATTTTTAACTAGTAAGGGCTACCTTTTTAACCCATCAGGGTTACCCATTTTAACCTATCAAGGCTACCTTTTCAAGCCGTGTTTTTTTCAACACAAAGACTTTTCTAAATCAATTTTTAACCAAAAATAATGGCAAGCAGCAGGCTCTCTTTGAATGCTCCACAAATTTTCACAGACGAAAACTATCAAATTTGGTCTGTGAGAATAAAACCATATTTTGAAACCTATGTGATATGTGAGGTTGGGATGGAAGAAAAACCCTTACAACCTCTCTCTGCAAATCATACAAAAGTTCAAATTAAAACACTTTCAAAAAAACTTCTACACAAGACAATGCCATCACATGTGTTTTTGAAGAACAAAATCAAAAGAAGAAAAAGAAAAAAGAAGAAATTTTGCAAGTTCAAAAACAATGAAAAAAATCCAGCATCAACTACCAAAGAAAAAATTGAGAAGGAGCATTTTTTTCAATTGCAATAACTAAAGCAAAGGAGGAGTGTTGAAGTTTGCTTTTAGTTACTGTAGTAACTTTTAGCAAAATAAGTTATTTAGTTTGAATAAATTTGAATTTTGAATTTTAGTTAGTTTGTTTATGTTGTTGAGATATTTTAGGTTGTTTAAATTTTAAATTATGCAGACTATGTATTTTATGTTGGCTATTTGAAGCCCCTCATTGCTTAATAAAATTATTGAAAGTCATTTCAATCCATTGAGAGACATTTTCAATCTTTTTGTGCCGCCCCATTTTAAAAAACACCAACATGAACACTTCATTTCCCTCTTTTGACATATACCTCTTTTGCCACCCTGCAAGTCTTCTTTCAACCCTTTCTTAGGTATGAATTGCAAAAAAGAAATGAATCAAAATTGCAAGACATGAACTGTCAATACATGCTAATCCTTCTTTAGCGGTGACGTCTTGACACACATGAGATACAGTGAGACTCCAAGGAGCTATAGTATTCTAAAGGCATGAAGAGTCGAAGGAATAAAAGAGGAAGTGAATAGGCCTCTATCCCCATGCGACTAAGAACTGAAAATAATATACCTCAAAAAATTCATTTATCACCCCTTTGCTATGGGATGATATTCCCTTCTGCTGTCTTTCCATATTTCCGACAGCCTGATCATCAAAAGTAAATGCCACGATACCCTACAAAATGAAGTAAATTAATATGAGGGTCAGATAACATACAAAATTTGAAAATATTGCTTGATGCAAAAGTACCTTGTGGGTAGCTTTTCTGAATTGGGTGGCAGCATCACTTAAGGCATAGACGGTGTTACTCAAAAGACTAGAGGTCCCTTGTGCCATGCCTTTAATAAACCTGCACGAGTCTGCAGAAAGAGCTGGGTTTACATCTAGTTGGAAGGATAAAAGAGCAGATAATGCATAAGGTACCAGGAAAACACTTTGCACAGGAGCTGACAAGAAATCTTTGAGGCCAAGACCCATGCTCCTTGCAAACCCCATAGGATTTCCAATAACTCCTGCTGAACCAAATACCTGCAGCAAACAACCATTTTTCACTGTCCATAACCACTAAGACCATTGCAAGAAACAAATTGTCCAGTTAATAAATGAACAACTATCAGATTAAAGATAATAAATCAAAGCTTGGCTCTTTAAATCATTTACCAACATAGGCAAATGGATACTTACACGGAAACCAACAAATTTAGTTCATCTGAATAGCACTGAGTGACAAAAAACACTTAATCGGGAAGGTTTTTTATGAATATCACAAGTATGACATCATTACAGAAATTTGTTAATTCCACAGTTAAAAGCAAGTACATTTCCATACTATTTTAAGCTGGAGAACTACTTCCAGTTTTAGGTATTAGTAATGTCAATTGTCAGGTCTAGTCATAGTAAGATATCTAGGTTTTCCCACCTCTAATTCCTGCAGCATTCCAGGGTTCTTCTCTTCAAGCTTATGCTTTTCTTTCTCTTAAGAGACAATACATAGAGCTTTAAGAGTTATAGCCAAGGCATTTGGGATAGTTGATAATGAGAGATACTATGATGTGAAGGATCCGCAATGCCTAAAAGAAAGCCAGATATTTGACTAAAAGCCAGATGCCATCATTAGGTGTTACAGCAGATGAAGAAGAAAAATTGGGCAACAACAATGAGGTAACTAGTACAATCTTCTTGAGTATAACACCATAGAAGTTCCCATACAAAAATATGAAACACGGCAATCAAAACACAACATGCAATCGAGGTGGTCCCTTGACAGATAATTTAAAGTTGGATTCTCAATCTATTAGTCTTCCCACAAAGTTCAGAGTATATTTTGGTCGAACCAATTAAAAATATTTTACATTTACATCTGATAGATCGGATAAGCTCTTCTCCTCTTCTCTTTACTCTACATTCTGCACAGCTAAGGGAGTCCTAAAAGCAAAACAGGGAATCTCTGCCATGCCAGCAAAGACAGACAGTGGAGAAAACTCTTCCACCTAAAACCAGTTGAGAATGGGTAACAATGTCTAAAATATCCACTGAGAAACTTAGGCTGTTATTGGAATTACCTCTCTTCACACCCCTTTTACATTAAAGTACAAATTGAATATAATGAGACTTCTTGAAGCTTGTTCTATTTCAATGAAGCTCACATTGCAAGATCAGATATGTAGTGCAAGCAAAGCCTAGACCTTTTGCAGACTCAACTCCTCAAGATTTATTCCGGGATTTGAAATTCTGCTTGACATTTGATTCAAAAGTCAGAACTGGGATGCTCTAGCCTAGACCTGATATTCAAGGCGCAGTCTGGTTTTACCCGGAGAAGTATCAAGAACAATCTATATCTATGTGTTTTCTTAGTTAGTTGTTGTTTAGGACTTGTATACTTATTACTGACTTAGTTTGATATGTAGTATTTGTAATTCATCTTTAGTATGTAGTAGTAATACATTTTTAATTCAAGTTTAATACATTTTGCAGTTAATTGATTTATTAAGATTACTGAAAGTTAGTTTGACTAATTAAAGTTGAAGTTCAATTTCTATGCAGAATCGTAAATTCTGAAAACATCCGGATGTTGTGGATATTGCGAGTAGGTAGTCATTCTACATTAATCATAGTGTCATCGACCAAATTAAAATCTCTTTATCCGAAAAACAGCTTGAGCTGTTTAGGAATACATGTTTTGTGACTTTCTTTACCTTCCAAAAGTGAACATACAACTCCAACTTATTCATTGCCTTATGAATAAGGAGTTAAAACACACTCCAGATAATGTGTTTGCTATTGAATACAAAAAGTTGTTTTTTAGTCTTAGAGAATTTGGATTAGTTACTGGCTTAAATTGTATTAGTGATGGAACTCCTGTCAATGTTCCAGATTCTAAGTTAGTTTGTTGAGAAATTATTTTCCAGAACAAATCACTGTTCAAAAGAGTCATCTACGTGAGTTGTTTCTAGCTTAAAAATTCATAGATGATGACTCCGTTGTTTCATTGGTTGTTCTCTTCTTTATTAATGAATTTTTATTTTCATATGAGAACCATGAACACCAAATTAGTAATAAATATTTTTACATTGTGGAAAGTGGACAATTCATATCTGTGGGGATTAGATGTCTACAAGGAGTTGCTTGATTCTGTGAGGCACGCGCTTAAATCAACCCATAAATACTATAAATTGGGTGGCTTGTCTCTTGCTCTTCAAATTTGGATATTTGATTGTTGTTCAAAAGTCGATGAAGATATAGCTATTCGGGTTTCTGATTCAATTCCAAGAATCTTGAATTGGAAGACAAATGTTGATAGTCCATGGCAAAAATATATTGAGAAATATCTCTTCATGCCTACAAAAAAAATAAGGTATTTGTACAAAGTTAATACATTTTATGACATTGTTTAGTTCAACTCAAGTTAATATATCTATTTTTATTTTCTTTATTTGATTTTTCAGTTTGAAAACTTAGTGGCTGGTGAAGATGAAGTTTATAAATTCAGACTTCTTGAACCTCGTGATTACAATGTTGAAATTTTAAAATTGGAGCCCAAAGGATCAAGTCATGGTCTAGACATGTTGACTAATGAAGTTATAGAATTGAAAAAAGAACTTATAAAGGTATATAAAAACTTGACTTTAGGCTTGTTTTTTTTCAAAATTGTTATTTTAATATTTGTGTATTGTTTGATTAACTACTAGGCAAATGAAAACCACTAAGCACTTGAATAGAAGATAGATTTAGGATTGAATCAAATCAAAGAATTTGTGGTGAATTCTAACAAACAACTATTTGAGGATATTTCTTTGTTGTTTGTTAAGAGTGATGGTAGCAACTCTGTTATCTGAAATGCCTTCCTGTTATATGGTTTCCAGCTTTTCGGATAACAGAGCTGCTACCATCACTCTTAGCAAACAACAAAGAAATATCCTCAAATAGTTGTTTGTTAGAATTCACCACAAATTCTTTGATTTGATTAAATCCTAAATCTTTCTTCTTTTCAAGTGCTTTGTGGTTTTCATTCGCCTAATAGATAATCAAACATAACACAAATATTAAAATAACAATTTTGAAAATAATCAAGCCTAAAGTCAAGTTTTTATATACCTTTATAAGTTCTTTTCTCAATTCTATAACTTCCTTAGTCAACATGTCTAGACCATGACTTGATTCTTTGGGCTCCAATTTTAAAATTTCAGCATTGTAATCACGAGGTTCAAGAAGCCTGAATTTATAAACTTCATCTTCACCGGCCACTATGTTCTCAAACTGAAAAATCAAATAAAGAAAATAAAAATAGATATATTAACTTGAGTTGAACTAAAAAATGTCATAAAATGTATTAACTTTGTACAAATACCTTATTTTTTTGTAGGCATGAAGAGATATTTCTCAATATATTTTTGTCATGGACTATCAACAGTTGTCTTCCAATTCAAGATTCTTGGAATAGAATCAAAAACCCGAATAGCTATATCTTCATCGACTTTTGAACAACAATCAAATATCCAAATTTGAAGAGCAAGAGACAAGCCACCCAATCTATAGTATTTATGGGTTGATTTAAGCGCGTGCCACACAGAATCAAGCAACTCCTTGTAGACATTTAATCCCCACGGATATGAATTGAATTGTCCACTTTCCACAATGTAAAAATATCTATTACTAATTTGGTGTTCATTGTTCTCATAGGAAAATAAAAATTCATTAACAAAGAAGAGAACAACCAATGAAACAACGGAGTCATCATCTATGATTTTTTTAGCTAGAAACAACTCACGTAGATGACTCTTTTGAACAGTGATTTGTTCTGGAAAATAATTTCTCAACAAACTAACTTAGAATCTGGAACATTGACAGGAGTGTCATCACTAACACAATTTAAGCTAATAACTAATCCAAATTCTCTTAGACTAAAAACCAATTTTTTGTCATGTATTTCAATAGCAAACACATTATCTGGAGTGTGTTTTAACTCCTTATTCATAAGGCAATGAATAAGTTGGAGTTGTATGTTCACTTTTGGAAGGTAAAGAAAGTCACAAAAACATGTATTCCTAAACAGCTCAAGCTGTTTTTCGGATAAAGAGATTTTAATTTGGTCGATGACACTATAATTAATGTAAGATGACTACCTACTCGCAATATACACAACATCTGAATGTTTCTAGAATTTACGATCCTGCATATAAATAGAAATTTAACTTCAATTTTAATTAGTCGAACTAACTTTCACTAATCATAAATCAATTAACTGTAAAATGTATTAAACTTGAATTAAAAATGTATTACTACATATTAAAGTTGAATTAATGATGAATTACAAAAACTACATATCAAAGCAGGTTAGTAATCAGTATACAAGTCCTAAGCAACAACTAACTAAGAAAACACATAGAAATAGATTGAAAATACTATCACATACCGGATCTCCACTCTCCGGTAGAATGACATTGTTCGCCAATCACTTCCGTGGCTTTGCATCCTTCCCTGACTTCTTCTTCTCCGGCACAACTTTATTTTTCAATTTGTTCGACTGAAATTGAGGAGGTAAATCCTCAAAATCGTCATCGCTATTAACTATATTCTTAGCGGTAGATGCAATATAAACGCATCTTCTTTTCAATTTTCGCACATCGTTCACCTCTTTTACTCTTTTTTTACCTTCACAATACTTTTTCTGAACATGCATTGTCTCATTGTTCTGCTCAACCTCTATACAATTCCCAAACTAAAATTGGACCGTCATTAACTTCGTTACTAGCAGAATTTTCCACGCTAGAAGCTGAAATTTGACCCCTCATCCGACTCCTCCTTCAAATTATCCACAACTTTGAATCATCTTAAGCCCAACCCTTAAAATTATAGTTGGGTCACCTACACTTGAGTTCAATTTTGACACCTCTACTTGTATGGATTAAGTGAATCATATAAATAGTGATTTTGGTAACTTCACGATGGCTGCTCGAAACTGGGAGGTTGGCAGAAATAGGTTTAGTCAACTGAAGGCATCAATTGTTTTTTCTTGCAGTTGAGAGTATTGAAGATGATTTTAGTATTAAAGTGGAATCGGAGCCGACTCTTGCTTAAAAAGATTTAGGCATATGCCCTGACTCCCAAAATTGGGGGAGGGGCACCCAAATTTTTACAAAGAATAAATTAGAGAAAATTGTCTAAAACCCCCTCAATCTATACTCAAAATTCTAACTACACACTTTAATTTTACGGATGTTTTATCATGCACTTGAACTATTTAAAAATGAAATAAATGACTCATTAAATGTTGAGTTGGCACAAAGAGTGTCTCATTGAGAGAGTGAAAAGCAAAAAAACAAGTAAAAAGAATATTTTTATTTTATTTTTTAATAATTAAATAGTTTATATTTTATTTATTTATTTTTATAAGCAAAATGGCACTGTTTTAATGGTGGATATTACTTTCCCTTTCACTTTGGAGAAGAAGAATCAGCAGTCCCGACCCCATCTTTGATGGCTGATAAATTTTATATTTGTTAGAGAAACTTATCGAACGAGCCGGCAATGACGAGGAAATAATCATTGGAAAAGATGAATTCGCCTACAAATTCAAAAATTCATACTTGAGCTTCGAAGCTCTTTAACAATGGTTGTCCATGGATTTGTATTTTCGCCCTTCATTTGTCAATTTTTTTAGTTCAAATCAATTGATTTAGATGTTTTCAAACTCAGGAACTCAATAATGGGATTCTCATAAAAGATTCAATTTAGTCTCTACAAATTAGTAATTGCAAATGAAGATTTTCAGATTTAAATTCGAACCCAGAAACCCACATTTCTTTTTTGATTTTGATAGCTTTGTACGTCAATGGAGTTTTCTAGTTTTTGGCCCAAATCTTCACACCAAATTCAAAATAAATTAACAAGTAATGTGTAGATTCCATACACCAAACTTGATCACACTCACAAATTCGCACAAATCCGATGAACACGATGGAGAACAATAAGTTTTTTCTTCAAATTTTCAGAAATTAATAAAGCCAAGAAAACAATTGAATGATTTTGAGGCAAGTGTTATAGCAATCTAAAATTTGATGGATCAATTTGTGTATATGTATCGTTTACAAGTTTTAAAAGAAAAAGAAAAAATAAAATAGAAGAAAGTTAGAAGTTAGATTAGTTGCATTTTCCTACTTTGAAATTCTTGAATTTAGTATGTTTGATGGTTGAAGTTAGAAAAATATTGAATTGTATATGAAATTTAGATTACGTTGAAGTTAGAAAAATATTGGATAGTATAAATTTTCCAACTTATAAGTTCTTGAATTTAGTAAGTTTGAAGTTAGAAAAATTGGGGATTTTAAAATATGATTGTAAATTAAGTATTAGAAGTTAGAACTAACAAATAACTAGAAGCTAGAAGTTAGAGATTAGTTGAATTTTTCAATTTGCCATTGTATTTGTGCTTATATGTATTATATTGATGTTGAAAATTGGGATAAGGGTCTGAAAAATACCCCAACTTTGATCAGATTTGCTGTTGCGATACTAAACTTTCATGATAACCTATTACCTCCCTAGACTATTTAATACCGTATTTTTTACCCCCTGAACTATTTAATAGTGTATTTTAAAGATATATATGTGCCCACGTGGACACATTACTATTTTTAATTTTGCATTATTTTTTATGTCCATGTGGGCAAATATATATATTTAAAATACGGTATTAAATAGTCTAGGGAGGTAATAAGTCTTCATGAAAGTTTAGTATCGCAACAACAAATTCGAGCAAAGTTGGGTATTTTTTAGACCCTTATCCCTTGAAAATTGGGTTACTTGAATTATATTCTTGAACTTAGAAATTCTTGAACTTGGAAATTCTTGAACTTAGAAATTCTAGAAAATAGATATAAACTTGAATTTTTGTAGGATTTTAGAACTTTTATTAGGTTCCTTTAGAAATCTAGAATTATTTTAGAATTTTAGAACTTTAGGTTGTGAACTTTAGAAATCTAGAATTATTTTAGAATTTTAGAACTTTAGGTTGTGAACTTTAGAAATCTAGAATTATTTTAGAATTTTAGAACTTTAGGTTGTGAACTTTAGAAATCTAGAATTATTTTAGAATTTTAGAACTTTAGGTTGTGAACTTTAGAAATCTAGAATTATTTTAGAATTTTAGAACTTTAGGTTGTGAACTTTAGAAATCTAGAATTATTTTAGAATTTTAGAACTTTAGGTTGTGAACTTTAGAAATCTTGAATTATTGTAGGATTTTAGAACTTAAAGGTGTGAACTTTAGAGAACTTGAATTTTTGTAGGAACTTTAGGTTATGAAACGTTAGAAATCTTGAATAATTGTAGAATTTTAGAACTTTAAGTTGTGAATTTTAGAGAACTTGAATTTTTGTAGGATTTTAGAACTTCATAAGGTTGTAAACGTTAGGAATCTTGAATTATTGTAAGATTTTAGAACTTTAAGTTGTGAACCTTAGAGAACTTGATTTTTGTAGGATTTTAGAACTTTAGGTTGTGAACTTTAAAGAAGAGAAAATAGTCAAATGACCCCCCAACCTAGTATCGAATTCCCAACTACACACTTATACTTTATAGAGGACCTATTACCCCCTTGAACTATTTTTCAATGAAATAAATAACACCCTAAAATTGAACACCCACATTCATAACTTGCGGTGATGGACACGCACAACCAACTGTCAAGTATATATATTGATTTTTTTTGGGAAAATGCATAACTACCCCCCCAGCCTATGCCCGAAATCCCAGAGACACACCTAACCTTTACTAAGGTCC